GTCTCTTCTAATCCTATTAAGATTATATTATAAATAATGTATTACTATTTTTTGTTGGTTATACCAATATAATACATATTAACATATTATTTTCGCTACAGTAATTTATGTATTACCAATAATATATTACAGAAATATAATAAATGAAAAAAATTACATAAATTTACAAACAATATTGTGTTTCAAACAATGCACTCTACGATTTCACATAATATATATATACATATTGTATATTTATGGTTTTGTAAACAGTTGATTCCTTTAAAAAATATAGAGTGATATAGAATAAAAAAAAAAACATTGTGAGTACCACGGGCACCGGTATGACAAGCACACATATACTACGTATACTGATATAAATATTAATAAGTGAAGTTTTATTATTACTTTACACAATAATAAATGTAGTACATTTATCATTTAAATAAGTACATGAATTATTTTAGAATATTTGTATTTTATGTTATTTTGTTGAACGTACAACGTACATGAAGTTTAGATGGGACTTGTAACACATTATGATAATAATGACCTATATTAGCCAATTTGAATATTATTGTTTTAATTTAAAATAGGTACACATGTTATGTATTTAAATACCTTTTTTTATTAATATAAAACCTATTAGATTTAAACAACGTAACTTGTTTAAAGCTTAAGGTGTAAATATGTAAGTAAGTGTGAGTAATTTAGTACACATGGATCATAAAACATTATAAATCTTTATTTTTATATTTACATTAATAACTCACCCTTTAGAAATCTTAGAGTGTATAGTCTAAAATAAATAGCTATTATCGCCTTTAAAATTTCAAATCTATTGTGTGATATGGAAAATTACTATAATACTTATTATTATATTATTTATCAAGGTACACTTCAACTTCAAAGATTTGTGCAAATTAATATAGAGAAAATAACTCACAGAGATAATCTTATATACAAAAACGCAGTCCCCATACCTCTGAAGCCGTAAAAAAATCCGCTATTCGGGGATAAAATCGGGATGATTATGCCTACATAATATCTGTTTATACCTACTTTGCATGTACATGTAACATTGTGTCATAATATACATTAAACATTGCACATAAAATTATAGAACAATTGAAACGCTATGTATGTAAACATAAGTTCCTCTGAAATATTTTTTTCCAATTTAAACTATACTTAAGGTACACTACAGCGAAGTAGTTACCTAATTTTACTATTTTTTAAATTTATAAATAATACATTTAAAAACAAAAAAATACACACACATTATTCCACTCAGAATCTAAAATATAAAAAACTGGACACAATAATTTACTTCAAACAGGATACTTAAATTATAACAATATTAACTAGTCCCATACATCATAAAATATATGGATTCAGGCAAATGTTACTTTTAGTAGGTACTTATAAAACAATTTTAAGTTTGTATTCAACATATAAATAGTTGTAATCATACTAAAATTTAAATAGAACTTAAACTAAAGTTTTAATTTTTATCTACAAAACAAATAGTAAATTATGCAAAATTTGACGACGTTCTTCTAAATTTTTACTTCAAATAGGTATTCTCAACTTTTAGTTTTTATCGGTGTATAAGAACAATTCAACCACCTCAAGTTAAAAATTTAAGCATTTTTACTGCTTCAAACGGCAATAACAAAAATTAAAGCAACAGAAATAAATTATTTAAAACTAATACATTTATCGCTCCTCTCAGAATCGAAAATATATAGTGTTCTAGTACAGTCACTCATTAATTCAAAATCTATTGTTTTTTTTTTTTTT